ACCAACTATAATTTATTGAAGGTTATTTTGCTTTCAATAGATCTGTATAACTGTATTACCTCTTTGAATGCTGGCATTTCGTACATTCCAATTCCAATCAATGGCTGACTGGTTCTAGTCTTACCCATGTTAAAAGGAGTTTGTCACCTATATCGTGTAGGTCATTCAAGTTAAAAATACAAACTCGTTAAACACACAACGGACGAGAAATCTCCATTGTTAAGTTAACGAGAAACGTAACACCGAACTAACACACAAAGGGTTCCAAAACATTATGGTATATTGATTTGCAGGGTGTAAATTTCGAATCACCTTGATAATATCAATTATTGCGCGATGGTGACGTCAGCGATGATAAATACGGAATCATACATGTATGATATGAAAGCATAAATCTGAATATTAACGTACCATTGTATAGTTAGCATTAACAGAGTAGCCGCAATATGCAAGCAAATCGATTACGACCTACTTAAAGTACATGTCTGGAGAAGATATTTATAATCACACAGTCACATCGCAGGTGCATTCACTGAACCACGTCACTTGAAGACAAATTGCCTATGTGTGTGTACTATTATTGTCACATCCTTTTCACGTTTTCACATATATATGTGCGGTGCCGCAAATATGGGTAACTTTTCCCAACTAAACATCATTATTCTGCATATGCCTCGATTACAGTATTGAACATTCTGAAAACATTGTATGGTTATTTGTACCAAAAACAATATTTGTTCTTTAAAACCTCAAACTACAAAAAGATAAAACGCAGTACAAGTTTAAAATTAGAAGATGGAGACATCTGCTATTTATTCTGTGATACAAACATTTTAATTACGTACATTTATCCGAGTATCGCCACAACCATATAGCTAAAAATAGAGTTTATGTTCCTTGCCACACCTAAACTTCCCCGAGCGATTTTACTAGTAAATGAGACCAACCTAATTCGTTTCAGCCGGGGGCACTCGAGTACACGTGAGTTTAATACCAATATTTAATTATGTTTTTTTCTTATTTTCAATATTATATTGGACTAAGCATGTGATGCTCAATGACTACAAGTACATGTGATAAAGTTGTGAAACTTAATCTCGATTTTCGTGTAAACAAACAATGTATTTTTCACGCCTTGTGTACTTTTCGTGGAACCCATATGGAAAACGTCGCAGAGCTACAACTGTGTCACTTCAACACAACTTTTCACATAGAGAAATCTAAATATCCTCGATTAGTAATATTTGTTTTAATTTTTATTCGATTTATTCATTTCTACACTACGCTAAAAGTTTGTTTTTGTGGTGTATCGAATAGATGCAAAATATGAAATGATACTGACTAAATTAATTGGATTTCCAGCCCTGCAAGTAAATGTGATACATGACACAGAATATTAATCTCTATACACGAAGTGTATGTAATTTTTGCGGCGATATTTCTTACCTCGGCGAGTATATCCTTAAATGTAGTTGCTTGTATAGAGGCGGTGGTACGAAATTTTACATGGAGGGCGCGACCTTACTAGGGGGTCCGGGGGTGCTCCCCCTTAAAAATGTTGAAATATAGACCCTCTGAAACGCTATTTCCTGTATTTTGAGGGGCAAATGTTGCTGACACAAAGGGTTTCAGCATGATTTAGGAGGGGCGACGCATCCAACATTTATTTCGAGGGGTGACCCCCCTGTGCCGCCGCCACTGTTGTATATCTAAATGTTTAAATCTCGTATCGTGCCTGTTTTAGTATATCCCGATACTGACATTGACCGACAAATATGGTTTTAGGGCGGAGAAAGTTAACGAAAACGCCCATGGTACTAGTACTATAATTATATACCACAGCTGCAACATTACCCCAGCATCCCGGCGGTGTATGTGTGTGCATGGAACGTGGAACCACACAGGCGTGTGTGAACACATGAGAGAAACCATCTATCTTATACAAAGCTTGCAGTTACTCTCGGCATATTCCTTAAGATATTTTGATCGTTTGCATCGAGGAACGTGACTTTGTTACATGATATATTCCTTCTAAATTTAACTACGACGTATCGTTTCCATAGAAACCGCGAAGGTATCCATGTCTAATCATTCTCTCAAGATATGTCATTATCTGTGTGACGTCGGCGTAATCGTTTTAGTACTAATTAAAATTTGACCACAATGTTATACGTGTATGGTTTCCGTGTATTCCCTTGGCGTTGACTTAAAATGGTGCGTGTGTGCAAATTATTCAAGGTGTATTCAATTTATTTCAGTAAAGAATTGGGTTCTAGATTCTGTTTGAACACGGTTACTCGATTAGCTGGCCCGGTTCAAGCAACCTGTGCGTGAAATAATATCGGTATGCTATATACGTGGTCGGTTGGTCTGTAGAAGGTGCATAGGATACGCAATTGGGGCGCCGGTATATGGATTGGGGTGGCGGATTTCAGTGAGCTTGACAACTACGTTTTCAAAGCTATCGTCAACTATTATGCGCTGGTCATCACATACACACCGTGATATGCTATTAACGTCATAGCGAAGTGGTACAGAAGGGCTACTTGTTCTAAAGTGTTCCCTTTTGTGAAAACAGTGTATGTGTTACGCGTGTCACCGGTGGCGAGTTACCACGGCACTATAGGTGAAACTGATATTGAGCATCGATAAAAGTAGGGATGTGTTCTACATCTACATAAGTTTTAATGATTTTTTTAAATTTCACTATTTTTGCCTAGATAAGTGAAATCCGTTAAATTCCTAGTATCTGAATTACCCACGCGAACAAATGTAAAATTACAAAATAATTCATTGTTTTCACTTGCAAATCCATGATTTAAAAACCCAGTGAGTATGATCAAAATAATAGAAATTATATAGACGTTTTTATTCACTGTACATCCAGGATTTTAACCCCGTTACCCTGGACTAAATAGCGACCCTAGAAAGGTGCACGAATGTTACGAAATAACAGCATTGAATAGAATTTGTTATTTTGCTTTAAACAAAGTGTATAGTAATTGGCTACCAATCTAGTTCACGTTAGTCGGATTATTTCCCAGTAAATATAGTTAATCCAATTGACTTTAGCATACGAACGGATGGAATTCCTGGTATTTCTCGTATCGTATATGTGATCCATGCAGTTTTAGGTCAAGGTCAAGGCAAGCGACGGATTTAAAAGGGAAATAGTGTGGCATGTCCTCACGAGAACTCTGCTAGGGTTGTTCTCCACACCACCGTGGCAGCATTCATGTGTGTATTTCTCTTCAACATCTCCTCAACATTTTTATCTAACTATGGAACTGCAAACAAACATACAGACAAACAAACAAACAAACAAAAAAGTTTCTAAGTCCAGTAAATCACGTGGTATCTTGAAATTAACTGCATAATTAAACATTTTTGAATTCTTGTAACGATTGTCAGTAGGTGCCACGAAACGAGCACAAGTAAAAGTAACACTTTAAGGCACGGCTTAATACAAAACTACAAACAAAATATTGTGTATTCTTGTGTTAAAATCATTTTTAACTATAGTCACATTACTTAATTTCAAATGGTAGTCACGGTAGATTCCACGGTATCTGGGCAATATTGCAACTTTGCGCCACGAGTTGAGTGTCCACTCAACTTGAAGAAACAGCTGAGTTTGTGCGGTTCACGCGAAGTTGAAATATGCACGTCTGGTACGTACTGGGAGAGACCACGACAGAGTGCTTTGAATCACGGTGTTGAGGGACGGTGTTTGAATGTTATATATACAAAAACATTGCAAGCCCCCCCCCCCCCAAATAAGTTGTTGGGTGACAAGTAGAGTATACGGATTGCGAAGAAGTACGGTAGAACAGGTACTTGTGGTGGCGAAAGTACTAGAATAATATTTCGCCAATAATATGCCGTACTACTATAACGCTGATTGGCTCGGGTAATTGGTCGTATACACGCTCAGGTTTATGTGTCACGTGACATTATTTATGACATATTATCAGAGATAACAGGTCATTATGGTGATTTTGGATTGTGAGGTTAGGACAAGCTATTTGCAAAGTTTTATCGTGCACCGTGTTTACTAATGTGTTGTATTTTTCTAGAGATAACTATTGAAATTCTTGTTACGCCATGAAGTAAAATTTGTGACATGAAAACCGTGACTTCTTCTGAACGAACAGCGAAAACATCGCAAAATATACATATTTTTCACTCACTAAGTTGTTGCAATGACTTTATAACGATGTAAATCCAATATTACAATATTTTCCCGCGTTTTTTCGGATACCAGTCAAATTGATAATTTTAACTTGAATCACGCGACATTACTTTGAGACGTGAATGCTATTTTTTACCGCCAATTTTGGTACGACATTTTGCAAATCTGTATGTATTTTTCCATTTTTTTTAATAAAAATATGCAAATTAATATGTGAAAGATGGCATTCAAATAGTTACTTCGGAATAGTACTTTAATTGTTTTCAAAATATTCCAATGTGTATTAAGTACTTGTTTTCACACAGTTCAGTATGTTGACTACAACAAAGTACTTGGAATTCCTAATAATTCAGCGTGTAAACATTGTAAGCGATAACTACTATCATCAATTAAGTGTTTCCATACCCATTTTTGTAATTTCTTAGATAAAAGTCTGTGCTACAAAGGTGCGAGTCATAACGCCAAAATCGTGACGTCATTAACCTCTTTCCCTCAAAATTTGTGGATACTTTTACTCATCCTGTCACATTCTTGTTTATTTCTGGGAGGACAGAAGAGCCACTGGGTGACTCTAATTTTGGTTAGCGTCAGACGTTTTAATATGTCATCGATGTTTCTGATCGCTTTGAACTTGGTCAATTTGATTTGTATGCATGACGGATGTCTTGGCTGACACGACTTGCCCTTGAATGTCGTATCACTTACTTTGCTAGTACACTATACTGTCCCTCATATATATAGGTCGACAACCCCCATCGCAGAATAGGCGTTCCACCAGGGCTTCGTAAGTTATTACACAGCCATCTTTTTTCGGTAGCAAAGCTTGTATATGATCAGCAAGCAGCTTTACCACACCCTTAAAATCGGTGGGTTTTAGGGTTGGATTTAGGCCCACAGGAGCCTCACAACGGCCGACAGTGGACTTATGGAGTTGGAAAATATTGTAGCTAATACTGTTTTACTCAAAGCCCGCGAAGGTAGGCAGTTTATGTGAAAGATTTTATGTTTTGTGTTCGATGTTTTGTTCAACATGGCCGCTGATGCTGAGCATATAATCATCGGAGGTTCGTTGATGCTATTTCCATGGAATATTAACTCATTCTTCCCAAATTTCTACTCTCCTTCCAGGCGGAGGGGGAAAACGAAAAGGCAAGAGTAAAAAGTGGAAACAAATTTTGAAATTTCCTCACATATCAGTTTGCAATGACCTTAGGAATAAACTCGGTGAGTAGTAAAAATCGAGAGTGGGTTCGGTAAAATTTACAAATGCATAAATGTGTGGCAGCGGGAGTGAAAATGGCGTCTCTCTGTGTGTGCTGTAGACTCGTGGGCCTTGTTTCGCCCACCGACCAGTGAAACTGTCGGTTTCAGTCCCTGTAACACCGGGACTGAGTGACAGGAAATGATTACTTGTCAGATCGACCGCGACGAATCAGGATCTGTGTGTAGAACAATATTAACCCGACGCGTTTACTTGAACGGATCGGCGCGGGCTCGAATCATCTTCTTTGTGAATGACATACCGTATTTTCGCTGGGATGTTTTACTTGTTTCTCGCCGTTTCCCCGTGTTTCCAAATGATGTATGTGCCTTTGTTTATCGATCCCATTATTATTTAAAAAAAAAAAAAAAAAATCACATTTTACAACCCATTCTGCCTCCGTTGGGTATTAGTTTTACAGTCGGTGTGATTAGCAGCTTTGAAGCCTGGCAGTAATATCCAATTTGCAAGTCTTAATTTTTTCTAAACCAGGCCATGACATGGATGTCTCGTTTCATTATCACTGCTATTATATGAGCATCACTTCAGGAATGACTAAGATAATATCCTTCAGGAGATTTCCTTTGAAGGTATTTTAATTGGAAATGCAAAGCTGTTTAATTATGAGCAATTTGGTTGTGTAATTTATGTCCCTACCAAGAAGGTTATTTTAAGATTTGTGTAATGAGCTTTCAGTCTTAATTGCTTTGTTTCAGTGCTTTCTGAGTTTTATCATTCAAATTTCCAGCCTGTCTTTTTTTGTGGGAGGTCTGAGTAGTTGGAAAAGTGCTCTAGTAAGAGAGGTACCATGGGAATTTCCAAATGACACTAAAGCTATTGGTTACTTATTCTTCAGTAATGTTATCCCAAATTATCATAAATTGTGGGGCCCTGGAAAGGTCACTCAACTTTTCTTTGTTCTGCCCTTGTCTGTTTCTGTCAGTCCAGCTTGGAAGGGTACATTATATAGATTTGATCAGTTGACAGTGATGATTTATTTTATTAATTAATAATAACTGTGTTTAAATGTGTGAATTCCTGGAAATGACAACTGCTATTGTGCGATGACCTTCCACGCTTTATCAAGGCCATCATCATCTCTTTCTTTTCATATTTATTTTAGTCTGTTTCATTTCTTTATCCGATTTTAAAATCATCCCGGATTGCAATCACACATCTTTAATTTCCGTTAACTAATCAAACTAATATGTATGTCTTGAATTTGGAACCAAAATCGAACTATTTTTTTTTTATTGATATTGAAGACCAAGTAACATATTGTTCATATTTTTGCCCTCATAGTGCATGAATATTTCTGCAGTCAGTATTGGTCTGTCTTATTATCATTAGCCATGGTCTTATAGATACAGTGAATGTGAATCGTTCAATTTTGAACATAACTGTCAATGATTTGATCCAAGTGAAGTTTGTAGAAAATTATTAGCCGTAATTTATAATATATAATATTTCACATAAATTCTAAATATACCACTGTGTTTTTCAGGTCATTTGATAACACAATACAGTTATGCCTGCGCTATATTCAATTCATTTAAAAATCTATAATAATTGGTCAGACTACTTGGTATACAATGCACAGTATATTTCAATACAGCAAAAGAGGTTATCCCAGACCATTGGTACTAAAACTGTGCTTAGACATAGACCCAGTCTGACAGATATCAGAAAAAATGAAATAATTATGCAAAATAATTTGAAAAGTCAGGAAGAACAAATATTTTATTAAAATATATTAATTTTCTGTCGGTATCTAGGGTAATATGATTTGGCTGACATTTTGTATGATTCGAATCTTAACTTGTGGGTTATAAAATCATCTTGTTTCACTTACCCGTAAGTAAGATTTTATATCCAGTTTTTGGCATATTCCATTTACTCCTAGAGGTGGCGAGGTTTCAATTTGAAGATTTTGCGTAGTTCACACTTTGTGTGTTTTGTGTTTAAATTTAACGCAGAGGGCATGTTTGGCAAGTACTTCATGAAATTGCGTGTCTGATAATTGACTTTGCTGCAGGGTCCTGTGTTTGATGCCTGTCTCTGAAATTAAATAAATAGCATCATGCTAAGGAATAAAAATAGTTCAGATTGAATTTTGAACAATAAAATTAATTGCAGCTACTGATATTTTAGTTTGTCACATGACGCATTCATTTATTACATTTGTACTTCCTCGCATGAGACATGTAGGATGAATTGAATTTATTGTTAAATTGTATTTTCTTTTTAGAAATTGACTTCGGTTGTAATGGCAACAATACTCCAGGCATGCATGGTTCAGGTGTTCTGAGTGTGTGATGTAGCTGGAATATGCTGATTTTTTTTTTTTTTTACGTTTTCTGAAATCTGTTAATAACATCAAGGCAGATGGCGGGTCATAAATGGTTTACCAAATGTAGTCAATTTGCCTTTGTTATCATGCCAATAATTAGAACATCGTGTCTTATTATCCAAATTACATTGATTCAATATTTCACTTTTTGAGGGCTTGTGCATATTTTAGCACATATTGCAGTCATATAGTATTTCATGTCAAATTCTATCCATAATTATTTATTTTAGTATTTAGTCAATGGTATGTAGACTTTTTGTTGATTGTTAAGAAAAACTGGCAAGTAAGATGCATAAAATGACACTTTAACACCAAATTCTTCCACTATAAAAACACATTTCATCACTGAAAACACTTTAAAATAATGTAATTTTTGTAATTCTGCTTTTTTAACTCAATGGAGCTGAGCAAAATTGTGATATTTTGAGATATACCCTTGCCATACATGTAGGAATCAAAACATGCTTGTTTCACTCAAATTTGTACATATTTTTTTCTTTGAACTTTGTACTAGTATGATGACCTTGTATATGATGAATGATTGAATCATATATGTAAAAATAAAAAAGAAAAGAGATTATTTTTACTTTTGATTAGTGTTCTACTATTTAAGGCCGTTTGACTGAAATTCAAATTGTGCACGACTGAGCATGTACTTTGCATACATGCAATCACATTCCCTCTATCCCTCTAGAGGGACTGTGATGCAATGCATTATGAGAGAACATTTTCTATTGTATATAATTATCATACAGAAGGTGACTAAATTGTATATCAATTTTTTTGTTATGATTCTTATGAATAAAAATATTACTTTTTTCATCCCAAGTCACGGATAATAATTTTGACATATGAAGAAATAATCTCACCTGTGTAAAAATGCCAATTTTGTCCATTTTGAACACTTCTATCTCAAGAATTCGTTCGTTATGCCAAATTTGTTCTCCATTTTTAGTATCCTGAATTTTCCTGGTTTAGTCCCTGTTCTCAAATACTGTGGAACACTGAAAACATATCTCACACATATTCAAACCATAAAATATTTCACATAGAATATAAGTCCTAATACCTGCTAGGAATGATCTCAAGAGCTCAACTATGAAATGCATGGACTGATTTGGTGAGAGAATTGTTAGGGTGGGGGTGTGTGTGTGTGGGTGTGTGTGTGTGTGTGTGTGTGTGTGTGTGTGTGTGTGTGTGTGTGACATTTTTTCTATTAATAAAGTACCCTCAAGTAGTGATTTCATCTCTGATATGAGGCTTAGGATAAATTTTCATTACAATTTCTCACTGGGATGTATCACCGATGACTATGTAGTCGACTTGCTTGAGTCAGTTGATGACCTGTATCTCAGTCAACTCTTAAGGTTAAAATATTAAATTCATTTAACACACAGCAGGGAGTATGCACTGCAAAGGCTTATTATTTTTTTTTTTTCCCCCTAACAGTTTAGTCTGTCAATTGCTTCCCAGCATACCATTTTAAAATATTGTTTACCAATATATAAATCCCTGCCTACTTTGTGATAGAGGTTGTGTTATAATCATTGAATTGGGGATCGTTTAACCAGCACATTGACCATTCGGTCAAATACTATAAACACAATTTTCACTGCTGGGATTCCTTACAATTTGATGATTTACTCGCACTCTTGAGGACAAAATTCTTTAAAAGTCGCTGATACTCAGTGTAAAATTTTCACTGCTTACAATATTTTGTGATTTTTTTTACTTATTCATAAAATTCGCAAAATATGTTCCTTGTGAAATTAAGTGGTTTACATTTTTATAACCATGATATAATAATGCCAATAGGGGAACAAAATTACATCATTTCCGGTATTGGGAATTAGTGTATACTGTACTTGTGCTTACCCTATGGACAATTTACACAAAATTTGTTATCACACAGTTTGAAATGTATTGTCCTTACTCGTTTAGTCACCCAGTTAAGTCAGTATTCTTCTCCCAAGGCAGGGTGACTAATTTCCTTAATAATCTATGTAGGAAATATATTTCAATACAAATATTTTACATATCAATAACAAAAATTGTTCAGTCAAAGCATGGCGTGTTGAAACTGCTATGCTTAGAATACCTAGGATAGAACTGCCTTTCAGGAGGCTGCCACACCCTAGCCATCACCACTGCTTGAACTGCTTGGTGTGGTCATGAGTGCAGTCTTACCATGCCATACTTGCCGTGAAGAGAAAATGAATGCTTCCAACTCTAGTAAAAATGGCGATAAAATAAGTTATGAAACTACTATCATGGTTGTGTTCCTGAAAACTAAAGTAGTTACCTGAAAAGACTTGCATTTGGGGGATGACTGGGAGAATTAAGATCACATCACATGAGATATAATTGTTTTGTCTTCACACTAGCCCTAGAAGATGTTCTCTTTTCTGCTCACCTGCAAAAAAAACGGTGACTGGTATGTTTTTATCTGTTCATATAGGTGATTGTTTGCTTGCCCATTTGTCATCAACAATTCCATTTTTGACTTTTTCTTAAAAAAACTACCAGCCCAATTACTTGATATGTAGATCCTTTGGGTGGACCTCTGTCAAATTTGTTCATATCATGATAGTATCTTCAATTCTCCATTTTTAG